TTTCTCGAATCTCCCTTCTGGCAAGTCTAGTCCTTTTTCTCTTCCTTAATTGGCTTCCCAACAAAGCCAAAGCGGAAACGAATGGGACAACCTAGTTTTTTTTTTAATCAAATCTAAAAACGAATATCAGTTTTTTCCTAACCCAAAAATTAGAACTTATTCATTTCTTTTTTTAAATTTCACCCTCGAAATAATTAATAACGAAAGTCACAGCTTTTTTTATCTCATTAATTAAAATAAATAAATTACGCCATGTATCACTTATTATGAGAAAGTTTATAATTGGGACATCATTTTTTTTAAATCACAATTAAATTATTCTATCTATCTATCTATCTATCTATATATTGTAACAGTTAGACCACTTTGTTATTTAACGTGTAATAGACATTAAATTTTAAATAAAATATACCAAGGTATTCTAAATATTAACCATGTAACATGTTACAAACATGTCACTCAATTTCAAAAATTATAATCAAACCATTCAATTAATTTGTTTACATTACATTATGACTTTCTAGAGACCTTCAAAAAGGCCTCAATGTCCACGCAAATTCGATAAGATGACCGAGTCTCTTTTATTGGGAGTTAGGATAAAACAAATTAGAGATTTAAAGTTTTAAATTGAGGGTTTCACGTGAATTAAAAAAGGGTAAAAAAAGTTTACGTGGATCTTATTGAGATAAAATAATATTATTAAATGGTCTACATCATCATTGTCACAACAAATAATATTATCTCGTTAAATCATTAATGGTGGAGTGACATAACTAAACGTAAAACTAAATGTTAGTGTTAAAATTGAAAAAAAAATTAAAAGTTCAATAGCATAAATGAATTAGCACTCAAATTTTGGTGTTATCTAGAATAATTTTCCCTTCACTTTATGACTAATTCTTTTAAAAATATCAAAAAATCATCAAACATGATAAAAAAATAAAAAATTGCTAATATAAAAACTAAAATTAAAAAAAAAAGTTCAAAGTTTTAAAATATCTGGTCAAATCAAACTAAATTCGCCTATCAACCCTACAGAGGTAGATTTGGTCATAGAACTGCGTAAATAACATGTATGTTACTTTAATCCAAATGGGGAAAAAAGATTTTAGGAGAATAGCTTAAGTTGTTAACAGAAGCCCCAAAACATTATGTATGTAATTCCGCTATTTTATAGGGTAAATTACACCATTCCTCATTTAATTTTACTTTCTTTTCTATTTTATTCATCGATACTTTTAATTTTTCTATTTTGTTCACTGAACTTTATAGATCAAATCGTTTTGCTCATTATGCTGTTAACTTTTAACGATGTTATGACATGACACAAACATCAAAACAACGTCGTTTTGAATCATCTTCTTTCCCTCATTTTCTCTCTACTTTGCAAATAAGGTGACCGTCTGTCGCCGTCGGTCATCACGTCATTTTCATTCCGGCCACCATCTACCGTCTTTGATGGTGGTCGTTTGGTCTAAAAATTCATGAGTTGGTTCTTCTCAACCCCTGAGTTCGAATCTAGTCTTATTCACCAGAAAATGTCCCAAAATTCATGAATCTCAAATGAAACGTTTCGACTTCCTCACTTTCAATCTCTAATTCGTGGACTTCGGAGCAAGTTCTGCAAAGTGGAGGTCGGATTCAGACTCAAGGTGTCGAGGCGAAGCGACACATGAAATTTGAGATTGAACGACCACCATCTACGGTGGTCGACGGTGGCATCCGACGACCTTCTATTTTTATTTTATAATTGGGTGAGTAAAATAGGAGAGAGAGTAAAATTCAGTGAGGAACAATGTAATTTATCCTTTATATTTTCAATTATGTTATATTAAATATAAAATAATGACACATCATCACAATGATAAAGAGATAACGACAGAGTGAGTAAAATGATTCAATTTGTAAAATTCAGTGAGCAAAATAATAAAATTAAAAATACGATTAGTAAAATAGAATAGAGAAGTAAAATTTAGTGAGGAACGATATAATTTACCCTTTCTTATATACATAATTCTAGAGACCTATTAACGTAATATATTACGATCCACTTTTTCTTTTTATGGTTAAAGTTTAGGGTTTAAGTTTATGATTTGGGGTCTAAGATTTAGGGTAAAACTTTAGGGATCAAGGTTTAGAGTTTAAAATTTGATATTGAGATAGAAAGAGATATTGTTTTATCATAAGTTAAAAGATATTTATAACCCATAAAAAATATGAACCATTTATTTATTTAAATCAATGATTATAAATTAATGTGATACTTATTATATTTAAATAGTGTAATTGTGTAAGTGAATCATATTCTATGTATATATGGGGAAAAATCCAATTACATTATATAGAACTCTTATAGTTTATATATATATTGTCGTAATCGATATTTGGTGGAAAATCGTTCCGACGTTTTTTTCTTTGAAAATTAATGGGCTTTTATGAAAAATTGAGAAAAGTCGAGTCGTCACCAATTATTTTTAAAGTACAATTGGAACACCTAAAATCAAATAATTTTAATAAAATATTTTATTTTATCAAAAATACTAAATTTATTTAAAACATTTGTTTTTGACATCTTTTTATTTTAATCCCATATTAATTTCTTTTAAAATTTATTTTAATCACTTACCTTTTTCCTTTATGTTCTATTATACATTTCAATTTTCCTTAAATCCTATTTTCATAATGGTTGCATCATAATTATTAATGTTTTTCCTTATTTTCAATTAGTTTCCATTTGATTTATAGTTTTGTTCTAATTTTTCATTAATTTGCTTGATTACCGTGTGATCTCTGTAGGTTTAATTTACATTATTTTTTTCCTTTAGTTTTTTTCTTTCCTCTTTTATTACGTTTAAATTCATGCTTTACTTTTCTTGGATTATATTATACGTATTAATGTTAGTAATTAGCTTTAATTGTTTTGCTATTTTTTACGGTAATTATTTGTAAGAAATGACATTCATTTTTATTCATTTTATGTTTTTTACTACGCATTTATTTGTTTATATTCTTAGTGTATTTTTTTTATCAGGTATTCGTGACCTTTTCTTTTTTCATGCAGGTTCAACCTATTTTTATTTTACATTTTGTGGAATATCCTAATTTATTTTATTTTAGAATAATCAATTTTCAAAGGAAAGTGATTTGAATCTTTTTTTTTAAATTTTGGCCTAAACTTTTAATTTTTATAATTAAAATAACCGAGTAATCGAGTGTATCAAAAGGGAAATTCGATGGTGTTTATCATTCTTCGATTGTAAACGACTTCCGAATCCGACAAAACTTTGGTAAGATACATATTTGGTAAATGGGTTGACAAATGGGTCACCTATTTAATCTCATCATCCACTGCGACACCCATTGTGAATGATGAATTTTTCAATTAACATATGTTTTCCCCTATCGCGTTAAATGATGCAAGTCGTCCAACTTTGATGGTGATAGCGGAATCATTTAGACATAGTTAAATTGTCACAGCACGTGATCGATAGGATACCACTTGAGTATCTCATAGACTATCAATGGGACCATCAAAATCCAAAAGCCGAAACTAAGACCTATTTTAGTCGGAGTACACGATCATCATCATTAAACGATGTCCAAAGGAACTACAAATTTTCTTAAACTAAGTTAGACAAACTCGAATTAAAAAATATTTTTTAAATTAAAAAACAAAATTAATTACAATTATTACATTCTCTGTTTTTGGTAGGTGGGTATGGGTTAGTGTACCAGTCAACCTATCATTTATATAACAAAATATTTTTTTTTGTAAAACCCTAAAAATGTATAATAATCTAAATATATAAACATAGTTTATTTTAAATTACCTCTTAAGTAGTGGAAATTGAAATGGGGTCGGGTGTGTAGGAATCGATCGTAAAAACGACATTCGCAATCAAACCCACGATTGCAACAACATCAGACACCCTCCAATAACTTATTTGTCCGGATCGACAACTTTACAAAGCTCTCGAAATATAAAGGCCAACAATGTCTATCCCCAACTTTTATATTTAGAGTCCTGCAAAATGCATAAATGATACAAGCTTTTTGTTTTGAGATTTATCTGGCATCAAGATCCTCCAATAAATCGTAAAAAATAAACACAAACAAATCGTTGTAAAATAAAAAACTAATCATAAATTAAAAAATTATCGTAAAAAATTACAATAACATAAAATAAAATTTTAATATTATAAATAATAAAATAAAAAATAAACCCAAAATTAAAAATTTATCTCCTTAATTACTAGAGCGACATTGGGGGTAGCTGCGTAAAATTATCGTCTAAAAATTCAATCTTGATCTTTCCTTCATACAAATCACGATTGCTAGAGGAAATTCTGAGCAATTCCTCACACAAACTGACTTAGTACCCATCGACAATATCAATAATAGTCATTTTAGCAACAAGCAACCCAAGATGGACTGCAACATCTTTAAGAGTAATAGTCGCCTCCCCACAAGGAAAATGAAATGTGCTCGTCTCCGGCCTCCACCATTCTAGCAATGCGTTTATCAGTGGAGGATGCAACTTTGTACCACCAATTATAGTGCTAACGTAACTAAAATCGACTTCGTGCAAATAGAGAAGAATATCATCATAAGGGTTTGTGAAACAATTGATATAACACGTCAACGAACATTCATACTTGTTCAAATAAATAAATATTACCTCTGAATTTACCTGCCAATAATCGAATACGTGTCTTCGATCAAGCCTCAGTAATCCCGCTATAATAACCAAATAATGGAATATATAAGAGAAAAACACATACATAGAGAAGATAAATATTTTGGTAAGTAAGGTATGATGACTTTGGTTGAGGGGGTCATATTATAGGAGTCATCGCACCCCTTCTAAAACGAGATTAAAGGAACCTCGTATTCTACAAGGCACGAGGTCTATTGAAAAGACACGTATTCAAAAAGATCTCACATTTTATAGGATGCAAGGTCGTGGAATCAAAATTCAAAAATTTTAAAGACGCGATAAAATGCTGAAACGTTTCAATATATTGGACACCTGGCGTGTAGAGTGCGAGGTCATTTATTGAAATATTAAATTATATTATCTAAAAAATATTTCCACGTAAGAAGAGACTCACACTATATAAAACGCAAGACCTTTAAACGTATTTTATAAGATGCGAGATAATCCTACGTATTTTTTTAGATTTTTAAACTAATAACACCCATTATCTTTATTCTTTATGTTTTAAAATTTCGTACAAATGTATTGTTTCAATCAAATAAAGTGATAGAAATAGTACAATAGACAACAAAGTATGTGTAACCCCCAGACCCAGTCTGTAAGATAGACTCAAACTTAAGTGGTCACATATCCCATTCAGAGGTTTTTTTTTATAACTTATAGAACGTTAAATATAATATAGAACAAAATATTAATAATATAGATATGTCCAAAATTATAGCAAATACATGTCACCAAACATAACTGAAAAATATATAGAAATATATGTTCGTACAAAATAAGTAGTTGGTTTCCCCTGATGCCAAATCTGCTAGTTCACGATCTGTTGTTATCTGAAAAAGGGTAAAATCTATAGAATAAGCTAAAAAGCTCAGTGTGCTCCAAACAGTGTATAAAACGTACGAATAAAATATTCCAGTAAAATCAGTTATCAAACATGTTTTATATATATAATTTTTTTTAAAATATGAATACTACCCCCATCCATCAAGTCCAAATTGTGTAGGTTCCCTAGAACCATACACCCACCAACAAGTCCAGTAAGGCCCTGAGCACACAGTAGAGGAGCCGGTAAATAAGGCCCTGAGCACACAGCAGAGGAACCTCCAGGTATACTTCCTCCAACATTATTCCCCCCAAAATAATCATATTCCGCTTATAACGGATATATGTATATAAAAAATTAAAACATAATTCAGGTCAAGTACAAAACAAAGTCCATATCAAGTATCATATAAAAATTCAGGTCAAATCTCATATCAGAATCCAGGTCAAAAATCAGATAAACTATTTATATGATAGTTTAAAACAATAAAATAACACTGTCAGGAAACACACCTGTAACAGTCTGGAAAATTAGATAGGGAAGCCTATTATTGGGTCTGTCGATCACGTTCTGCTGCAGCGCTAGATCCTACGAATTAGAAAAATCCATATTGGAATCCTAATATAAATAATCTAAATATTATTTAAATAATATACGGAAACCTACGGGTAATTCTCGTAGTACGCGGTTCAGGCTAATCTAACGAACGGATAACACCGGACCTAATTGATCCTTTGCTCAGGTGAAATACGAGTACCTTCATAAAATATTTTTATTGAATAAATCATTGACCAAATCTCAATTAAATAATCAAAATATTAAAATATTAAGCCTTTTGGGTTTACAAGCTCGATTCGGGAATTTTGGGTCATAATTTGGAAAAACGGACTTCGGAATCAAATTCAGGACGTCGAAAAACATAAAGTATGACTTTTCGGATATTTAAATTCTTGGTCAAAGTCAAAGTCAAAGGGTTTGACTGACAATTTGGAGACTTTCGGGTTTGAATTTGGTGAAACGGACCCCAAAAACGGATTCAGGACGTCGAAAACTGTCAGGATAGGAATTTTTGGAAAAGATTAACGATCGTTTAATAGCCGGTCAAAGCCGGTCAAAGTTCTGGTCAAAGGAGATCAACAAACTGTCAAACATTTTACAGAAATAACACCCTTTTTAAAATAATTACCAAAATATCACTCTTTTCGAATTAATTACCAAAATAGCACAAATTGCGAATTAATTCCTAGAATATCACTTTTTTTTCCGAAAAAAATTACCAAAATAGCACATATTTCAAATTAATTCCAAGAATAGCACCAAAATCAAATTAATTCCCAGAATAACACTTGTCAACGGTCAACGATCGGGTCGGGTCAACTGGTCGGGCCGAGTCAACGGGTCGGGCCGGGTCGAACCAGTTCAGATCGGTCAACCAGGTTCAGACCGGTCAAAACCGGTTAAACCGGTTTACAGATTTCACTCGCCTGCGGCGGCGCGTGTGGCCGCGTGAGGTGTCCTCCGGGGCTCTAAAAATTACGGAAAATTTTTTAAAAATTATTTTGAGCGATTTCGAGATACTTACAAAGTTCAGTTCAAAATTTTGAACGGCGGAGAGCTCGATTTCATCAAATCGGAAATTTTGACCGCTTCACCTCCCCACGCGCCACCGTCGACGGAGATCGAGGATGACACCGGCGGACTCGGAACGGCACAAGGAACACGATGGTGCGGAAGGTGTCGTAAACGGAGCAACGATCGGCGATGAATTTAGGATTTTCTATGCGATTGGGCTAAAAAAAACGTCGATGTTTTGACTTGAAATTCACGACGTTTGGCAGCGTTTTGCTTCAATTAAATTGAGAGGATTATTCCTAACTCGATAACGAACACGATGGTGCTTTCAAAACGGCGATCGAAATTCGGAGGACGTCGAAATCGTTGTCGGAAATTGACGTAGGAGGAAATTTGGGCGTGGTTTCCTGTTTTGAAAACAGAAAACCACGCATAATCATTTATAACCCAAACATACCTAACATTTTAGGGTAAATTCAGGGTTTGGTCCCTGAATTTTATTTAACTCTAAAACAAGTTACAAGTTTTAAAATCTTTTAATTTAGTCCCCAAAAATTCACCAATTTTTACAATTAAAACCTCAATTCCCAATTAAATATTATTTTAAAATTTTCGGGTTGTTACAGTATGAATAAAATTGTTTAATTCATACTAAATTAATTAGTTTAGTAAGATGAATTACTAGATTTTTTAAGTAAGGTTAAAGATATGAATCCTGATAATTACGAAGGGGATAAATTAGATTGGATAGATTACTCCCATAACTTCTAATAGTCAAGAACTCAACAAAGTAGCGTCATATACATTCAGGTTGGAAATAATGTATATTTGTAATTATACATTCAGGTGGACCTCACCGAAGATGAACCTGTGAATGTTGATTTCATGTACACTGTTAAAAGGAAGGAAACCGAGACTGCGTTTGAGAAGCGTACGGATAAATACTCGCAATCTTCTTCCTTGCCCCACCACTTGGAAATCCACTGGTTCTCAATCATCAATTCATGTGTCACCGTTCTGTTGTTGACTGGTTTCCTTGCTACCATTTTAATGCGAGTCCAGAAGAATGATTTCATTAAGTAAGAATTGTTTCCCTAGGCATCCATGCATCGTAAATCCACATTTTATTCAAATTACTTGGTTGTATTTTTCATTTCCTAAATTTCTTATTTAACAGGTATGCACATGATGAAGAATCGGCAGATGACCAGGAGGAGACTGGGTGGAAGTACATTCATGGTGATGTGTTCAGATACCCAAAGCACAAGTATTTGTTTTCGGCTGCTCTTGGTTCTGGCACTCAGCTCTTTACTCTGTGAGTATCATCCAACCAAGTCAATAGTTATTCTGTAAACAAAAGACAGAAAAAAGGAAGAGACAAAGGTTTAGCTAAGTTTGGCCCTCTATTAGAAGTTACTTCTGTTCTATTGTTTCTGAGCTATCTGTTTACGGTAATTGCTTGCATGCTTTCCAGTACAATTTTCATATTTATCCTTGCTCTAGTGGGAGTCTTTTATCCATATAATCTAGGAGCCTTGTTCACTGCTCTGGTTGTCATTTATGCCCTTACATCTGGAATTGCTGGCTACACTGCTGCTTCTTTCTATTGTCAGCTTGAAGGAACAAATTGGGTATGCAGTACTGGTCTCTTTTACTAATATTCCATTTCTACAAATTATTATTATTTCGGATATGATTTGGAGGACTCCTTATCTATTTTATAATAATTGTCCTATTAACTAAAAATAAATTGGCTCCGCTGTTCAAACCTTTTCTGCTCAATGTGTGGGTGTGTATTTGCTTTTTTATAATTCAGAATTGATATAAGCCATTAGGGAGAAACAAAGAAGATTGATTGTGGGAGGAACAAAGGATATGGGATAAAACCATAAATACTTTTCATGAAAAAAAATAGTAAATATTTTTGTTAACTTTAATGAATTTTAGTTCCTTAATTACTATCATAGTTGATTTTCTTCAAAATTTGAATTACTAAATTATTTTTTAGTCATATAGATCTCTTTCTTGAAGCTAATTTTACAGTTACTATTGTTCTAATTCCCTATCTTATTCCTTCCCCCTCTTTCCTACTGAATCTCAATGATAGAATGTAGGAAGTTGGAACTTGGAACTTGGAACTAAAAAAATGCTAGCCTACTAGTTTTTGAATGGGCAAAAAAATAAAATGTCTTGCTAATATGTGAATATCCTTTTGATCAAATATATTGAGAACTTCTCTTTTCCATGAAAGGTGAGAAACTTATTACTGACGGGAAGCTTGTTCTGCGGGCCTCTTTTTGTGACATTTTGCTTTCTCAACACTGTCGCAATTGCTTATCAAGCCACTGCAGCATTGCCATTTGGAACCATTGTGGTTATTTTTCTGATATGGGCTCTGGTCACGTCTCCTTTATTAGTATTAGGAGGTATTGCTGGAAAGAATAGTAAGGCGGAGTTTCAAGCACCTTGCCGCACCACAAAATATACCAGAGAGATCCCGCCATTGCCTTGGTATAGGCAAACTCTTCCTCAGATGGCAATGGCAGGGTTCTTGCCATTCAGTGCTATCTATATTGAACTTTACTACATATTTGCCAGTGTGTGGGGACATAGGATCTACACCATATACAGCATCCTGTTTATTGTTTTCATCATTCTCTTGATTGTCACTGCTTTTATCACCGTGGCTTTGACTTATTTTCAACTTGCTTCTGAAGACCATGAGTGGTGATGGAGGTATGCTGTTTTTAGATTTCAGATTTGCATTTATAAAGAAACACGTGCATTTGCAAGTGGGCAAAAACAACATACATGAGCTATAGATGCATGGTTGCAAGATTTTTTTTCCTCTCATATCGTTGTTTTGAGCTCAAGTATATTTTTTTGTCTGTTGGTGCATGTTTGGTGTGTTTTTCTATCAATAGCTGCTTCTTCAGACTGAGTGAAGCTGCAAATCATATAATATGGCCTAGATTTCCGCTTTCATTGATGATGAATTAATTAATTTTACTAGGAGGCTGCAAATACTACCAATAAAGTGACGTCACAGACATCAAGTTGCTATCATCTTCCGTCAGTCTTGAGTCATTTGTAAAATTATTAATATGATTTTTTATATTATTGACTGACAGTCAGAAAACATCTAGACACGTCTCTTTTTTGATAAGGTGGTATTTAACTGATATTCTCTATGCTCTGTTAGGTCCTTCCTTTGTGGTGGGCCAACTGGTTTGTTCATATATGCCTACTGTTTGTATTATTACAATGCACGATCAGACATGTCGGGCCTCATGCAAACCTCATTCTTCTTTGGGTACACGGCTTGCATTTGCTATGGCTTCTTCCTCATGCTTGGGGCCATCGGCTTCCGTGCATCTCTGTTCTTTGTTCGTCACATTTACCGCTCTATCAAGTGTGAGTAGGAAGTTGGATAGCATTCCCTGTATACAAAAGGTAGGCATGTGATGTTTATTATTATTATTTTAACTGGGAGGCATTGCAAAGATTTGGTGACTATGATTGCTGTCATCTTTTGTATTACAGAATGAGCATATTGGGACGTGCATTAGACCAGCAATGGATGCGAAAAAGCTATTGTTGCAGTGTTTGAAATATGAATCATCTAAACCTTGTTTCATTAGGACCAACCAGATGATGCCAACTGAAATTTATATTTCTCAGTTCTACATTACTTTTAGTTCATGTTATATGATTTTCAATTGGGGGAGAATCATGTTGATTAGGATGCTCTGCGAACAACTGTCTTATCATTTTATACGCATATATTCGTCATGTTAGCTCTATAGATACAAGTTCTTATGTTTTTCAGCTGAATGAATGGAATTTTGAAATCCATTTTGTTCGCCATTCTTGAACTGTGTCGCCAACCAGTAAGCTGCTGTATAGGTAGACTCCCATCTGGCTATGGCCTTAGTAGAGAGATCAGAGATGGACATAAGATTTTACGTAAGGGGCGAACTTTTAAAATTTTAAGTGAAAATAGATTATCAATAGAAAATACAAAGAAAAAATCTGATTTTTTTAGAGGCAACTGCCATAGTTTCTCCTCAGCCTATCGTTGAGGGGATGTTTTAGCTTGACTTATTCAAAAATTCAAAATAGCATTCGATACAATAAAACGGCTATCTTCGACAATAACCCATACCGGTAAATCGACAACAGAAAAAAGTGGCTAAAACACTGCCAATACTTGTTGAAGAATCGGGAAAAGTAAACGAAAAAACACAAGAATTTTAACGAGGTTCGGCAATGTGCTTACGTCCTCGGTGCCTAGGCGGCGCTAGAAATTTTATTCAATGTCTCATAGGTTTAGGTTACATCTCTATTTATAATAAAAAACCTGATACATAATTACATAATTAACCTATCACTTGTTATTACAAAACCACGTTGAAATAAAGTTCAACAAATGTATTATTTGATATATTGAATAAACTAACACTACCAAATATGCTAAACAAACATAAACTTGATGCAATGACGTGTATGAACTAAGATGTTATGCCAAGTTTGAAAATTTTATCAAAGAAGATAGAAGATTAAACACGAATTAGATCATAAAAGCTATAATACAAATAATGGAATATGCAACAATGAGCATAAAACTGCCCCCAAAAGCACTAAACTATATCATGTAGATCACTGAAACATGCTTGGAAACAAATAACAACTCTATAACATGGAAGTATAGATATGCATGATATTTTAAACACTTGATCAAGGTAGGTTACGAAGGATTTCTTTAGAAGAATTCTATTTTTAAAGGTGTTAAGATTCCTTTATGATATTTAAGAATTTCGTGGAATCATTGCTCTGATATGCATTTTTTTTAATACAATTGATGTTTAGTACATAATGCTGGGGTGAAAATTGTATACAGTGTGGCATCAAATGCAAGAGAATATTTGCCTGCTTGACAGATCTGTACAAATATTTCCTGGCTCGCATTTCAGCAGCGCCAAAAAGATTTCCCCCTCCTAGAAACAAGCCCTTCGTTATCATTTCTCTGCTAAAACCAGAAAAACCATAACTTTCATCAGTTTTCCTGCTGATTTAGCCATAAACTTGGCTTTGTCGTTCCCTTGTTAAATCTTGATCTTCGAGCTACTTGCTGAATATGGTTTTCGTTCCTTTGCAAGAGTTCATCAAATTTAGATGATTCTGTTACTAATGGTCCTGAATAACCAATTTTTACCTGTTGATTGAAATGCCAATATAAAAAAAAGATTGCAGTCGTAAGAAATAGAATATGCTCATGAGCGAGAAAAAAAAAAACTGAACTATTGACGAGAATTATAGATGCTTCATGAGTTCTTACCATGTCATTATTTATTGCTAACATTTCTTCCTGATGAAATTCCATCGAATAATCGTTAGGTTGAAATACACTTGCACCAAAAAGATCTGACCTATCAAACTTGTTATGCCTATTCGATCTGTTTTGCGGCTGCTCCTGCTGTTCGGAAGCTGTATAAACACTTCCAGGAACATCTTATGTCTCTTGTTTCTTAAGTTCAAAGATTTTAGCGTTCGAAAGGCTAAAGCTTGATGCACCTGCATCACTAGGTTGACATAGTGAAGAACGCCGATTGTAGCGAATTGCAGACGTCGAATCTTTTTGCTTCTTTAACGAGGAGAAGCTGCTTGATCCGGTCAGTGGTGGTGGAGCTGTGAAAATATCGCATTGAGATACACTTGTTACTTGCGAAATCTCTGAACTCTTATCGAAGTGGAGATTCAGCAGCCCTCTACGAGCAGTACCGTCACTTCCCCTCAGATTGTTTGCAGTAAAACCATAGCTCTTAGTAGCGAATTGAGTATCATATCGACTACTTCCTGCATATAAAATGAAAGTAGTTAATCTTAGTTCGTTTTGCTAGCACCAGATGCGCGCACGTACCTACAGAGAAAAGGAAAAGCGAGGGAGAGACTTCTTTCAAAGCATTTTTACCGAAATTGATTGCTTCTACTGAAGTATTACAAGATCTTCTTGTTCTTCTTGATACTCCGGAATCTCGGATCCTGGATCTGGACTTCTTCCTGATATATTGTAATGAAAAAATATACCAAAATTAAAGGGAATTGAACTATTGAAACATCCAAGCATCTAGTATTTCTTAAGTGTTTGATGCACAGAATTATAGAATATATCATCAAAGATTCCTTCATAATCATTTGATAATAGGACTAATAGGCAATAACACTGGTTTCGGACTATGCAGCAGCTAAATACACAATTGTGGATAAGTCGAATCTCAAGGTTTCATGGTTCAGCAATAACCGTAAGAACGCAATGAATTTTAAACAGAAACTTCAGAAACAAGGAGTGACAAGTTCACCTTCGTAATTCTTCCCGCTGTTTAGCATCAATTTCTTTACTAGGTAATTTGGTAAATATTTTGGCAAGCTTTATGGATCATAGGCATGGGGTGTTGTGTGGAAATACTGAAAGATGTGCAACAGATAAACATGGAATCAGGAAACTAAGCTCCTAGTAAATTTCTGACCATTTATAAGCTTTGAGGAATCAAAGATATTGGTGTCGCCCGAAATGAACTTCTATTATCTTCGTGGCGTTACCTCGGAAATTAGTGACGAAAAGGCAGTCCCACGCTTGTGGGGTTCTACCGAAAGAAGAGCTTCTAACTAGTTCAATGCAGTTGGTGGAATATCGCAAAGACAACTTCGGTAAGCATGCTGAGGTTTAAACATGGTTGAATGAGGAAGCCTAATCTTTGTCCAATACTCATCAAGTGGGGAACCAAGTTGTTCGACCTGCCAAAGGAGGAGAATTCAATCAACTTGACTTGTCTAAGAAGTAAACATGATTGCCAGGCAACAAGCGAAGGTTTACCAGAATAATTCAGATAAAAGAAGTAATGCAACATAACTAGCAACCGAGGCTTTCCTATTAGAAGCTCTGCAAAAACGGCCTACACTCCACAGATCCACCGAGGCTTCATAACTCGTCGATCCCATCAAAAGCTCAGGAGGTCGATACCATAATGTCACTACTCGACTAGTTAATCGATGCTTGTTTTTTGAAGTAAGGATGTTTGCCAATCCAAAATCCCCAGTTTCAGAGTTCCTTCATTGTTTACTAGAATGTTAGATGCCTTAATATCTCGATGCATTATACCTCTCGAATGACAATGCTCAAGTCCCAACAATAGCTGCTTCATATAGCATTTCACCTGCACAGAAAGGCAAACCTAATTCGAACATTCCGAAGAAAAAACGACATATATATTGTGCTTGAGTTTCAACTACAGCCAAAATGATACAAGCCGAACCTGTGGCTCACTGAAATTGATATCAGGAGGAGAAGATAATCCGGCAAGATCATGCTCCATGTACTAAAAAACAAGGTAGACCGTACTAGAAAACCGAGATGTGATTACCCCTTCGAGTTTCATGATATTGGGATGGTCAAGTCTGCGTAGAATGGTTATTTCTCGTGCCATGAACCTGATACTATCTGGCTGAGAGTTATCGAACTGCACCTTCTTCAAAGCAACCATCCTCCAAGTTTCAACTTCACGTGCTTGGAATACGCTACTGTATGTGCCTTGTTCAATCTACATGAACAGCATTTGGCGAGAGAAACGTTTAAATTAAGAAGAAGAAGAAAAACTGAGTTACCTTGTCCAGTTTCTCGAAAGCATCAGCCTGCAAAGGCCCCCAACCATGCACTGCTTCACCAGCAGCTGAGCATAGCCAAGCAGGCCATCCGGTTGCAACCTGTTCAGCCTCCACGATCCTATGAGAAAACCCAAAATTGAAGCTGAAAAAGCCACTCCTCCTCCTGCTAGAACTCCATCTCTTTGATTTCCTCGACTCGCTTCTCTTGACGTGATGATGATTCATGGTTTCACCATTTTCACCAGACTTCTCATCATCTCCATCAACCTGCCCTATGCTCCTTGATTGTTGCTTCTGAGGAAAAGAAACACCATGGCTACCGTTGTGCTGGTGAACCACTGAAACAGGGGAGGCTAACACAACATTGTCACCTTGCTTGGCGTTAATGCAACCCATTTTAGCTCCAAACCAAGGCCCCAAAGGGGTAGCATTTAACCTGGGAAAACACACGAAAACAAAACAAAAGGAAAGTTGAAGAAAGAACAAAAGAGAAATGGGTTTACACCCTAACATTTTTTTTTTATTTCTCATGTGATTATAATATAGTATCTAATATCTGGGTTTTCACTTTGGGTTTCTGGGTGCACGTTAGCAGGGCTAACGGTTCCGAGCTCCCCCGTCGTGCTTTAGGAGTCTTTCTTGATCCTCTCGGTACTCTCGGTGCTCTCTCCTTTGGGTTTCTTGTAAAGGGTTTCTTTTCGCCTCCTCTGCGTGAAGCTTCATGGATTGGAGGAAGCTCTTCTCTTGTTCAGAGGGTCACGAATTGGAGTTTTTCCCTCCTAGGGTTCTTGATGGATCCCTTTCTGTCCATCCCCCCAAAGAGGTCCTTGACTCGGGAATCAAAGAATGGAACCTCTCCTTAGTGGGTCAGTTCCTCGGCGCAGCCCCGAGCTTTTCTTCAATGCAACAATTGGTGGATAGCTTGTGGAGGAAATCTCTCACGGGCGAACAAATCCAGGTTAGCAATGCAGGAAATAATCTCTATGTTTTCACTTTCTCTACTGCTAATGCTAGGGATTGGGTTTTAGAACATGGCCCGTGACATGTCTTGAAC